CGGGTAATGACCGAAAGAACAAGATCGCGGATACAAGCGGTCGAAATGAGCTTCCTCCGCAGAGTGGCTGGGCGCTCCCTTAGAGATAGGGTGAGGAGCTCGGTCACACGGGAGGAGCTCGGAGTAGAGCCGCTGCTACTCCACGTCGAGAGGAACCAGTTGAGGTGGCTCGGGCATCTGTTCCGGATGCCTCCAGGACGCCTCCCTGGGGAGGTGTTCCGGGCACGTCCCAACGGGAGGAGGCCCCGGGAAGACCCAGGACACGCTGGAGGGACTATGTCTCTCAGCTGGCCTGGGAACGCCTTGGGATCCCCCCGGACGAGCTGGAGGAAGTGTGTGTGGATAGGGAAGTCTGGGCGTCTCTGCTTAGACTGCTGCCCCCGCAACCCGGCAACGGATGAAGCGGAAGAAAATGGATGGATGGATGGAAGTTATTAGTAAAAACTATATTTATACATCTAGACACAGGGTAAGGTGTTGTGCCGCACACGGTTCGGGGCATGTGGGGGTGGGGTGAGTCCCGCGGTTTGGGGGGATGCTGGCTGGTCCCGTGCGATTGGGCGGCGACCCGAGGTAGTTCATAAATTAGATATACTCTATATACACTCTCTCTCTCTTGTTTACTGTTCACAATTGTCCTGTCTTGTTACTTGTACTGTAATGTCATATTGCACAATAAAGTTCTAAAAAAAGAAAGAAAAAAAATGAATTAGGCCTCAGTTTTGGCCCTTCGCTGAGCTCAAACTCACATCACTAATATTAGGTTATGGCCTGAACTTAATGATATACAAATCATATGCCCAATATGAGCTCTTTAGCGCCACTTGTTGCAAAGTTATAGGACGCTAGTGCTCCAATTGGCCTAGAAATGGAGCGTAATCTCTGAACCAAGACAAGCAAAACATTGCCTTACGCGAAATTCCCACACCTGACCACTGGGGGCGCCTTGAATTCTTTGAATGAGCTTTTTGGGGCAAAATGTTTGTCCGATAAGGTTAGAAATTAATTAATAAATAAATTCTGAAATTGCTAGAGTTCTGTCTCTGCTGATAGTATAGTGGTTAAATTCTGCGCTGTAACTCACGCAGTGGAGGTATGATTCCGGATTGGAGATTGATGTATGCTCGCAAGAGTGGCGAGGGCTTTCATCACCGTTTGTGGCTTTAATTACATTTAAATCTGTAAATCACTCACCAGTTCTGTTTCAATGCAACCACAACTGTGACAATTATGTTCAGGAGAAAAAAATAATATTGATTATTCGTACCATATTGTAATCATATCATGAGCCATGTATCGCATCATATCCCAGCCCTATTGCAATGGTGCTTACTCTAGTTTAACTGCCTCAATTAGTGGGAGTTTTCAGGTATATTAAATGTATTGTACTCTCCAGTTCTTCTGTACTATGTTGTCCATAACTCCATCCTGCCGGTCCCTCCGTCTACTCGCCGATTTCTGACCAATTTACTGGTCACTCGTACCTTACCCCTAAACCATCCCTTTCCATTTCTTATGTCATCTCGGTCTTCCCTGAGCAACGATGTCAGCACACCACTCAAACGCTCAATGTAAGGGGTCCTTTAATCCCTCAACCCTCTTTCTGCCAAGGACTCGCACTGCTCCACGACTCGTGACACAACTACCCTTCGTTCAAACATCATACAACTCAAACTGAATCTTACGAGTCAGAATAGAGACCTTGGCTGGCACCTCATTGAAAGCATTGTTTATTTGTTAAACCTTCAGAAAATTACACATTAAATGTTAATTAATCCTCAAGTATTTTCTTCTGTTGGGTTTCAATTACATTTCAGATTGCCTCTATTTTGTTAACTGAATATTTTCATCAACATCTACGTATCAATGTATTCTGAGCCATAAACCCTTTGAGTAAATTGAGAGGCAAGCAGCGGTGGTTTAAGCGAGTACAAAATCTCCCCTTCTGGCTTTCATCAAGTTGTGAGTGAGCGCAAAGAGGAGAAGGGGGGCACACGGACCCCAGCAACCGATCTCTCTGTGGTGGTGAAGACACTCGCTATATCCTCAGGCTGCTGCTTCTCCCACACTCTGCAGTTATAGAAAACAAACTGTATGATTGATGAGCATGGTCAGACCCAGTAGCATAACCACTTACCCATTAATCAGGGGCTGCTGGGTGTGATACTTAGGAGGTAAGGTGAACGTCGGCAGGCTGGATTGGCTTTGCAGCACGGTACCAGAAAAACATATGGCGTTCAAGGTGGCACTGCTGTGTGGTGAGCAGCGTCTCCAGATGGGCCACTTTTAAGTCTTCTGTCTTTTATTAATGGTGTGAAATTAAAAACACAAATGCTCAAACATGAAGGCTTTCTTTCATTTTCTTTAATTTCTATCATGATCCGGAGCCAGGTTAGCTCTCCCAGGTTACAATACTTGTTGATTATTTTCTACGGCCCATCCTGGTCATAGTGCCGTATTCAGTTTGTGCTTTCTTCTCACCTCGGGGACCCTACCAGAGGCGTCATATTCCCACCAACACTATTTTAATTTACTGTAGTCACCCATTGTTCAATATGTCTTTCCTACTCTGCGGAGACTAGAGCTTTTGCTTTCAATAGCTTAGCTGTTTTTTCTAATTGCCACTCCTCCACTGTAAGTGCTCTTTAGTTCCGATGCAATGTGTTAGGATGGTCCATTTTGTTCTCTTGACACTCTTGCTTGTTACACAGAAGAATGTGCCAGTTGTGGGTCAGCTGTGACTCTTGTTTGCATCACACACTCTGTCACCACATGTTAGACCACCACAACCAAATGAAAGATCTCTCTGCCTGGAGTTGGTCTGCAGGAGCTGAATTCAAGACTAACGCAGCTTGTGAAGGCATGTACCGTCCACAAACATGTAGGAGCCTGCGCTTCAAAAGGCATTAGAGATCATTCTGACGTTTCCACCGCCAGGGGTGCAATGAACAGAATCTAAAGCAGAGAACCACACTGGGGCATGGTGGCTTATGCTCAGGATTAATAAGAAAAGCAATTGCGTTTTAATATGTGGTCATTTAGATTCAGTTTTCACATTTATTTAGTCACTTGCGGTATTGGAGAATCTTAAAAATCTTTAATTGGAGAATGTCACACTGGCTCTGCTATCCTTGTGTCCACGTTTAGCTCTGCGTTTTCTCGGATTTATTCTTATGAACTCAAATTTGTCAGAGGTTGAAGAGGTGAGATGATAAATGGAGAAATGGCAGCAAACCTGGATCATAAATGAGAAACAGGCCTCTTCTCCTGCACCAGCTGCATTCCTGCCCTGCCGACTATGGACACCACTGCCCTACATGGCAACATTATATACTGGATATATACTGAGGGCCAGCCAGGAAAAGTGCAATAATGGAAAAAGAAAGTGGGGGAGCGCCTGGGACTATAGGAAATAGTGACGGGCTTATTTAGTGTGGTCGAAACTTTCCAGGCAAAGTGTTGTGATTGGCCTCATATGTATAAAAGAAAAATATGAACTCCATATGATGGAGCTAGTTTAAAGTTTAGTATAATCAAACATCCCAGTTAGTGCATTTCAGATTTTATTTTTTCTACTAATTAATTAGATATGATGCCCTAGTTCTCATGTAAATTATTGATATGACATTGTTTTTTTAGGCAAGATCTTCACAAATAAAACGATTACAATCCCATAGCCTTGGGCAAACAACAAAGACAAAATGGAGATGCTTCCGCTGCTGCACTGGGATCAGACTGCGTTTCCAGTTGCATGCTCTGTCGGTTGTGCCCAGCGCTGCCTATCTCTCAGATGAGCTTTAGCCCTAACTAGCAGAATACAGTTGTCACAGTACAGGAGCTGTGTGCAGCCAGGCAGCCTATAGGCACAGAAAGCGAGAGGTGGGGAAAGCACTCATTTGCTTTGAGGCATTGCATCTTAGTTACTCTGTCTAATTAAAAAGGCTGTCTGGAGACTGAGTGTCTCTAGGCGTCACCCTGCCCACATCCAGCCCGCGGCAGACGCCACACAGCTCTTCATGGTGTTAATGCCTTTTGTCATTCAGCTCTGTCCGTGTTTTATCTCGACCGGACAATTTGCAACGTTTTCATGAACAGTTTATCATTATATTCACTTAATAAAACATGTGTTGTCAGCATTGTTTTGTTTGCTGCAATCCACATTAATATTAGCCATTTTTGTGTTCAGTTATGTGGATGATCATTTTAGTACCTATCATACCATTGAGCTAAAACTAGTAATTTAAAATACCATAGAAATAATTACAGAATGATACACTACAGATCATGTAAATCTATGTATCATCCAGTTGGCCCACCTCCATATACCAGGCGTGACAACTTGAGCTGCCCTTGAGGGTGGGAGATGGAAGGCGGTGGTGGCAGTAGTGCAGACTGCAGAGTCAGTCCCTGAGATAAGGTGTACTTGTATTGGAAGAGGGCTGTAAAGAATCTGTAGATGCCCCTGCTGCTCCTGATAGGATTCTCTGGTCTTTGTTCTTTTACGGCTCTATCAGATTCACAGTAAATCTGAATTATAGATGCAGCCTCAAAGACACCCACTGGTTTTACAACTTAAAAAAAGAAAAGAAAAGCAGTAAACATGTCACGGTTTATTTATTTGCGTATGTGTGTGTCCATGCATTCTATGAGCATCTTGGAATCTCAAACTGTGTATCGAATTTTCTGACTCTTAATAATAGATGTGTTTGCTGTAAATATTTCATGGTCTGCTGACTGAAAACACATGCCTGTCAGAGATATGGAGGTAAAGGGAGGGGGATCGGCAAGCGAGCGAGTGAAGGGAGAGAGAGGGAGGGAGGAGGGAGGAAGAGAGAGAGAAGGAGAGAGAGAGAGAGAGTGAAATGTAATAGGCAGGTTTTAACCCTCGTATTCCTTCTTCATCAGCCAATGGAAGCGCTGTGCTGACTGTATATATGCTAATCGCCTCTCTTCCTCTCTTCCTCTCTTTCTCCTCTTTCTCCTTGTGTGCGCTCCTCCAGGGCTCCCAGGATTCGACAGGAGGACAGGAAGGACTGGTAGCTCCGCCTTTTGCAGCGTTCCCCCCTCCGCCCCCACCTCAAAACGGCCTACCCGGGACAGAATTCGGCCCCGGGGCCATGTTTGGTGCTGCGGGCCAGGGCACAGCAGAAGTAGGAGCCAGTGTGAATGGGGCCAACGGTGCTGCAACCACCACAAATAATGTAAGTATTGTTTTGCTCATTTAAAAACCTGGATCGCTTTTGCACACAAGGTTCTCCATGCTTCATCCTTCATTTTCTTGTCCCAGGGGAAGGTGGAGGAGACGTCCCAAGGAGAGACCGGGGTGCAGTGCGGGACAGGGGGCACGGGAGGCTCAGGAGGAGGGTCCCCAGGGGATTCGGAGGCTAAAGGCGCTCCAAAAAGACTACACGTTTCCAACATTCCCTTCCGATTCCGGGACCCAGACCTCAGGCAGATGTTTGGGGTAAGAATCAATAAATCAAATCTGGACCCCTCTACAGGGACCAGAATGTGGAGTGAGGGGTGGGCACAGAGGCACAAATGAATGAGAAAGGCAGACGCTAGAGAGGAGCAAGAGGCCAGGGTTCAAGGGGAAGCCTCTTGTTGGTGCTCTAGTGACCCCTGGTGTCAGGGAACTAGAATGGCCTTTTGTAACAGTCTACATTTTTACCATTATTCTTTGTTAAAATCAAGTTTTCTTTTGACATATTTTGGCAAATATGATGCAATACATTTAATTTTATGTGTCTAACAAATACTTGCATCAACTGTTTGTAGATATAGAAAAACATTATTGAATATTTTGCATTGCTTCATTATGATGATGGACATTTTCTAACCCTTTCTTGTTGTTGATTTGTTCTTTTTAATCATTTTTCAGCAATTTGGGAAAATTCTCGATGTAGAGATTATTTTCAACGAAAGAGGATCAAAGGTAAGCACACAATTCTTTTTCAATATTTCAATACTTAACACTTTTACTCAAAATTGCTCCTATATATTGAATCATTGACACTTTAATATCAAATGTTATTAAATATTATATAATTATGCCTATTTGAAATCCATAGGGTTCCAAAATTAATAAGTAATCTCCCTCTCTACGCCATGCCATCATACATGTTGTCATGCAGGTCAATGAACTAATAGATTTATTTTTTGAGCCAAGATGCACGGGCAACACTCCTAAATCATCTATAGAATAATACATCAGCCAAACATGCCTCTTAAACACCGCTCTGAGTGGGTAAATGAGAACTGCCTGTCACCTGCCGTGTGTACCACAGGGTTTTGGCTTCGTGACATTTGAGACCAGCGCAGACGCCGAAAAAGCCAGAGAAAAGCTTCACGGCACACTGGTGGAGGGACGCAAGATTGAGGTAATTTTCTTTCCGCTGTCCCTGCCAACACTCATTCTGGCTTCTGTTCTACTCTCGTGCTTGTACAACGACTGCTAGCTAGCTCTCATCCTTCCCTTTAGTCACATGCTCTGATGCAGCCCTCTGGTATCCCACCCCCTGGACCCTGTGCTGCAAAACTATTACTTCTATTCTACTATAAAGTCTGTGTTCCTCCGTGTTCTGTGGTGCCAGTGATTGGGGGTGCAACAACAGTACATAAGGCATGCTGTTTACGTTTTTCTGCTTAGTTTTTTTTGTTTTTTTGGCCTTTCCACTTTTTTTCCCCCTCACTGAACTCATAGCCACGTGATGTTCCAACTTTTCTTTGTGCTAAAATGGGAATGTTTGTGTGGTAGTACCTAGAGGAACGCAGGGAAGGGATGATGCATGGCAGAAGTCTGTCAGACACAAACTGTTCTATAGTGTAGAAATCCCTCTGTGTTCCTCTCTCCCGGTGCTGTGGCTAAGTGGTTGTGACAAGCTTCTGGTGCAATGGCAGCATGCTGGGATCACAGCGACACTGACGCATGTTCACTTTCTGGAGATTTGGCCAGAGGAGTTTGATGTGCCGTTTCTGTGGGTGGAGGTTGTGTTTTTCCTTTTGTAACTGTAGCATGTGCTGACTGTGTCCAGTTGCTCTTTTCTTTTGACTTGGGGGTTTCAAACAGCCACTGTGTATTTTGGATACCCAAGCCGCTGTAAGCCAGGTCCTGTGCTGCATGGGCTTATGGTGGGAGTTCTTCTCAGAGAGTGTGGATGTCAACATTATTTCTTGCATGGCAGATGAGACTGGATGGATCTTTTTGTGTTTTTTTGTTTTGTTTTGGCAGAATAGTCTGCTGCTATTGCCCCTTCACCTCCGTCTTCAGTCAAACAGCTCTAATGGATGCAGATGGAGCCAGCATAACCTGTCCTGTATTTGTGTTGTCAAATCCATGCATGCTCCCAGACACTTTGTAATGACGAGAAAGCGGTTTGTGTTCATTTTGAGTTTTGAGTCACTCTGCATGTTGTACTGCTGTGGTGCTGCTGTCGTGTTGGGCCGTGGTGAAATGGCTGCATGGAGGCTCAGGCAGCGAGAGCCTGTTTTGTTTTGGTGCATGGGATCAGAGAGACAAAAGGCTGACACAGGACAAATATTCATAGTTGTTTAGAAAAGCAGCATCTATGGAATTGTTGTTGTTGACTCTCATCGTGATCTGGGTCATATCATTTCAGAGTTCATTAAACTATTGGCACATTAATCTATTCATAACATTGAAATGCTACTCTGAAATATAGGCCATTTGTTTGAGGTTGGTTTTGTGTGACTGTAGTTTGTTAGCATGTCAGTTTAGCATGATCAATGACATACTATTGAAAATGGTATCTCTACATAGCTCTAGGCTGTCACTTGTTTTGTTTGCATGTCAAGTTGTTATTTTAAATTCCATAGGTGAAATATCTCCTTTCCTTTTCTCAATTGGCATGAGGCCTTGGAGAGCTATTACATACATTGGAATAGGAACTATTTCTAAAGTAGTATATTTTATTCTGTGTCCTCAGTGCATGTTTGTATTGGTTACTAATAGTGCATGTATTTGGTCATTATAAACCAGTTGTACTCAATGTTCCACTTATTTCTTGTCTGGATTAAAACTCTGCGTTTTGAAGAGGTCACTTTCCTGTGTATTTACAATACGTTTCCCCCACTACAATTGTCTACCTACTTTTCAGTGACCTCATCTCATTCTCCACATCTATATATGGACTGCAGTATCCTATATATAGTTGTGCAAGTGTGTATGCAGAGACATGCAATCTGAAACGCCTCGATGCATCTCCACTCATCCATCACTAACCATGCTTGTGCCTTATTCAATCATGCATAGTTCAGCCCTCATTGTGTTGCTTCACATTGTGCACATGCATACCACTGCCATTAACATTGAGAGCTAATGATAGGAATGATGCTGGATCCAATCACCATAGTCATTCATGTACTAGGATACGCACAGAGATATGGACAGAAACTATATCTCTGTGAAACTATATCTATTTGCAATCCCAAAATGTACACATTCATTATCAAAGACCACTTAGATTTCATGACCTGATGTGCTACTAAATTCTGCTTGTTATTTAGGTCTAAATTATCAAACGTTTCATGAGCACACGTCAAAGAATTTTAGTCAAAGCTAATTTTAAATTCTGCCTCTTTTTCTCAGATAGCTAGGAATGTTTCCCTGTTAAAGAGAAATGTTTGTAACTCATCTTTATTAAAATGGTGGTTGCCTCTGCTGCAATGTCAAACTATCAAGATAAAGTACACATCGGAATAAAGGCGTTTGATTTAGTTGTTTACGTAGTCAGCAACTGTCAGTCAATAGTAGACACCACCTGCTTTATCTTTCACTTTGATCTTTGATGAGCACTTATGAAGTTTAGTGAGTGAAGCTTTATGAACTTCTAGATTCCCTTAGTCCATTAAAACATCACTATGTTATGGTGACTGCTCTTTTCAGCGCAGAGTTTTAGACATTTAGAGTGAACTGAGGGTGTGTGTACATCTGCATGGGCGTGAGAGACATGGTGCCATTTTTACGCTTTATGGCTGCACACTTTTCTACAAATATGGTGTAAATGTTGCACAGCTCAGAAAGTCAATATATTATTATGCAATATATAGGTGATAAATAATGATAATGTACTGTAAAGGACTAGTCCCTTTAGAAAATTTGTGTAATGTAAGTTATAGCTACAAATAGTTTTTAGGGGGCTATGAAAGTTATCTCTCTACTCACAATCTTATTGTAGCATAGAAATCCTTTTTTACCCCTAAAAATATAGTTCTGAGAGAAGTAACAAAGGTTTCGACCCAGAAGCCATGGACTGTGTTTCATAGATGGGGATGTTCTGATGCTCATTCCGGTACCAACCACAGCTCTGACGCCACACTGTGTCGCATCGTTCTTGTGTCTTGGCGAGTGCTCGACACAGCGCTCAGTGCTGCACACACAGAAGAAACAGAGCTGGAGAAGCCACGTGTCACTGAGTTTATAGCACTCTCACTTCTCAGCAAGAAGGTTTTGAATCCCGGTCGGAACAGGGCCTTTCTGAGTGGAGTTTGCATGTTCTCCCCGTGTCTGCGTTTCATCCAAGTGCTACGGTTTCTTTTACCACTAAAAACATGTACAATTTGTCTGGCTTGAAACAAATAACCACAATTTTGAAGCGCCTTGTGACTCTGGTATAGGTGCTTTATGAATAAAGATTACTTACGTACTTGCTGTACAAACACGTGTGACATCAGAGTTTTGTGTTTAGATGCGTAGGAATCGTTTCTGGAGCAGACAAACCCAGCAGCTTAAACGCTGATAATTTCCCCATGTCTTAATAACCTTGTGTGCGCCAGAAATAATAATAATTAAGAAAAAGCTAAACAAAAACATGTGGGGGGTGCATGCCGCTGTTATCACACCAGAGGCAGCTCTACAGGCCTATAGACCTGAACAATAACCACAAGGCCTGTTGATAGTTTTCAATGCCTCTTGGATGTTTACGGCGCTGAAATTAATTAATGCTGATATTGTAGACCTGAGCGATAATGACATGAGGCATCGATATTATGGCCAAGTATAGGAATCAAAAAAAGAAACCGAAATGGTATCGGAACATCCCTAATACAAAAGCAGCATGTCCCATTTTTTGAATATAGCCTTGGAGCAACTGTTACGAATATCTGAGTCAGTGACGTTGAGTTAAACCCGTGTAGATTCAAATTAAAAAGTGCCACACGACAGAAGTTGTTTTAATAAATCTACTTAATTTGTCCCACTGTGCAGCCTTAATGCCTCGGGGTAATGGAGAGGTGGTCCTGCATGTCTGTAAGTCCTGCACAACACTTGTCAGTGGGACACAGCTGGCGCTCTTCCTCACCTGGGCCACATAATTCCCATGGAGGTAGCATTTCCAAGGCTTTAATTTACCGCTAAAAGGCTTCAAATGATAAGACGTGTGCACAAACCAAGGCCGCCAGCTCCTGTGTCCCAGTTTCAGATGAGCGGCTCCCTCACTTTCCCTCTCTGGATTTGACTTGTCCAGTTTTGTCATATTGAGTTTGTGTTCCTGCATGACTTGTTTTTAGACAGGACTATTGGACGTGTGTGTATCCATGCGTGTATGCTTTGTACATGAGTGACAATTGTCCAAAAAGAGGAAAGAGAGTTTGCACTTTCCCGTTCCACTTGTCTGTTTTTGACTGTGTGTCCAACCCCCACCCTTCCTCTTCTGTACCTCTTCTTATAACCAGTCTTTAAATTCTTTCATGTCTTTTCTAATTCATATTTTATTTATTTTGAAACCATTTCTGTTTTGTTGTGTAACCACTATTGTATCATTTGAATGTCTTTATGGTGACTGGTAGGAAGAAGAAATGTTAGTGATTTTTTTAACCACAGATGCCCTTTCTTGTAGCATCTAAGTAAAGAAGCTCCTTTTGTCCTTTTGACTGTAATTGCCCCAGACTCTGCCAAACCATCCCATTGCTATTAAACGCAGGCTGGTGTTCTTTTTGACTGGTTCACACAGGTCATTATAACTGGCTAGCTTTTTGTAAGGCAAGGTTGCCCCATATCTCCACTACTCTGTCCAAATGTTCCTGTGAGATTTTTAGTATACGTTGTGTGAAGCTAAAATGGTCTATTCTGTTAGCGTTAAAGGGGCCATGACCGGGTAATTATAGGATTATTTGTTCTTTTTTATTTATTATATTTTTTCTGTTTTCCTGACGACTTCTGTGTGTTGTTGTCAGTCTCCACGGTAACCACTCGCTGTTTCTACGGCAACGGTAAGTTGTGTACAAACATTTATCACTGAAAATGATCCCACTCCCTCACCCCATCTTTGAACGTAGTCATGATACTGGAGTTAGTGATTGTAGTGCTAATTCCAGTCTGCCGCTACATAGAGTTGTAGCTATATTAACAACCTCACCATCTCATTAACACCTCTGAGAATGAGCCAATGTAATCACTCGATGCAAAGATCCTTGATCTGTCTGCTAAATTCTCCCTCAGGACCTCAAATGAATACTGTTTGTTTTCCCCCGATCATTAAAAATCTGCACAAATGATGTAATGCCTCTCGTTTTATTGACCTGCTTGCTGAGTGTAGAACTGTTCACTCCTGCCGTATGATGATCTACTCACAGCACGTTATGTCGACTGGCACCAGTAAGCACAGTCTGTTCACATCATTCCTAAGATTATAATATTAGAGCAGTTTCAGATTTATTTATAATGACTGTCCTTCACGTTTGTAGAAGGGGTTGTTTTAAGCCTTAATAATCCTGATTGTAAGACATTTAAGCATGTAGTAATGTAAAACACGAGGCTATTCCAGGCTGACTCCAGAAGTCTGAACAGCAGTCCTTAAATTACACAATCACATACAAGTAATGTGGTGACGTGTTTTAGAATGCCTGCTGACTGTAGGGTCCTTCTGAACATTGTGAGCTTGTGCAGCCAGTATTAACCATATGCATCTCTAAACCGATATGGGGTTTACCTTGCTGGGTCTATATGCTGCCATTTTGTTTTCCTTTACTTTTGTTTCAGTTTGATTCTTGTAGTGGACTGTCTTGTGTTCTGAGTAGTGGTAGACGATGTAGTTGTAGTGTACTGGTCTCAGTTTGTGACACAGTTCTAATGCCTGGCCAAGTGTCTCATATTTATTTCCTTTCTCTTTTTGGGAATGAGGATTTCTCTCTCTTCTCTTGCTCTCTCTCTCTCTCTCACCACATACAATGAGATTTGCAGGAGAATGGTCACCAAATCTAATTGCTTTATTTGAATGATGCACCTTGGTATTTTGTTCATTCATTTTGTGTCTCTCTCTCTCTTCATTCCATCTCTGTCCCGACTTCGACTCTGTCTTTGATGATCTCACCTGCATCCCGACATGTCCCTGTCCCATCTCTGTCTTGTATGTGTTTGATGTGGGAGTGCCGCAATCGTAATTTGATTGGTCTCTATGCTGCATCCGACGCTTGCTGATGGCTGATTTTATTTTTGTTTTTCTCCTTCACGTTTTAGTCATGTGATGCACCCATAAATGGCTGCGTGTTAATTTTTTGTGGTTTATGATCCTTAATTTTTGTCAAGAAAATGTTTTTGCACCCCCTTTTTCTATACCCATTTTTGTATTTTAGTTATTTTTAGGTTTGTAAACCCCACAAGTTTGGTTTCATATGGAAATTCAACATGTCTGATTTGAGTAGTTTGTAATATTGTTGAGGAAAATAACATACAGAGAGGATGTTTAATTCAGATTTGCCTCTCATGCCAGTCTTCTGTTAACTTGCATGTGTCCATCTGATCGCAATAATTGTGCATGACTCGAATGTTAGAGACAGGTGACGAGTAACGGGAAAAGCTTTCGGGTGTGCCCCCACTTGGACGACAATGTTCCCTCCCCAGGCATGCTGTGAATACGACATGAGTCATCTGCTGCTTATGTTAAATCACGTGTGCCAGAGAAAGACCTTTGCTATCTTCTGACAATGTCCCACTAAAAGGAATGTTCTTTCCCTAGTTTGAAATCTGGATTTGCTGAAGGACAGACTTTTGTTTTAGTTTATTCCAAATTAAATCTGGACAAATATCCCTGTAACATAACTCATTTTTCCATGCAGGCTTTTGAAGTGTTCTGCGCACACAACAATAGTATCTCTATTATAAGACGGGGCTAAATCTCAAACTCTCTCTGTTCTTGTTAAGTTTTTAAACGGACCGCCAAGCGCTGAAGAGCTGACCCGACAGCTACATAAGCATTCCGATGGACGCCATCAGCTCAAAAGCCCAGTACTACTGCAGTGCAATATTGCTTTAGGCTCGAATGAACAATGTCATCAGAGAGCTACTTTGGCAATGCTAATTGGATCAATCACCACTGACCTTGTAATTTGGAACCAGGGGAAAAATGGAGTAAACCCCATTTTCATTTGAATTAATGACGGCTGGCTGATAGAAAAACATGGCGCAAAACGCAAAAATGTTAACAGCAGTGAAGCCATAACGGTTTCCTAAATGGGAGTGCAGTGTTTACATCCACACAAGCACTCATTCCTCAGCCTGTGTCCTTTTTTGCCACACATAAGCACACACACTCATCATGACGAGCCTAAGGTAATTAATCTTTTGCTCGTTTCACATTCTGCAGAGGAACAGCATACTCAAACTGCACTTATTAGAGCGAGCTACAATCTCCTTCTTTTAAAGCCCATCAAAGGAAGATGAGGACAGATCAAGGGACCTGTGTATGAGCCTTTGAAGCTCTGAAAGAAGATTATCGGCCATCTTGGAGAGAGAGGCACAGGCATTAGCCCGAAAATGTCAGTGGATGTGCACACATGTGCGCGTATTAAAATCCTCAATGGATTGTTCAACGTGCCTCCTCCAAATGAGAAAAGTGCTGTTGTGTTGCTTCTGAGTCTCTCAACATAGAAACATAAGCACCCTGTCCCCATGGCAGCCCTAATGCCTACCCGCAATGAATCACAAAATCTTCTCTGGGCAACTACTGGCTTTTAATTGCATGATGACTAAAAATTTCCATAACTGTACCCACCCACTTTTACTCCCTGCTGTAATTGACATGCAACACACAGGCAGAAAGTGTTAGGCAGCCATGACGGGAGCAGAGTGCTGCTGAAATCCTTCTGCGCACTCCCACAGGGTAACTAAAGCGCTGGGAATTATACTGCTTTATACGTTATGTAAGAAACAAAATGGTGAACTGATTTATAAACCCTATATAGACATAAAAGTGAGCATGCCAGCAGAGAACTGTGAAAAGTGTTGAAAGTGCTGCGCTGTGGGAGTCTTTGCCTCTCACAGTCTCCTTCTCCGTCCCCAGGTGAACAATGCCACAGCCAGGGTGATGACTAACAAGAAAATGGTCAGCCCCTACCCGAACGGAGAGGCTCTGAGCGCGCTGCCTTATGGTAATGACATAACACACACTATCAATCTGCTAACCATCCTGAGTCACACTCGGATTCACTTTGCTTATGCACAATTTTCTAATGTGCAGTACTAAATCCTTAGAAATGCTTGTGTTTACAAATACAGTAGTTGAAATGTCTACAAAACGTATTGTTGATGTAGAATTTACTGTGATGTTCCTCTAACAGCTCCATAGCACAGGGTAAATATAAGATGATGTGCACATTTAGCATTTAAATCTGTAGCAAAGGATCATATCACGTAAGCAAAGTACCATACTCAGAATAAAATATGCTTCTCATGTCCTTAGCCTTGCTTTGTTATACCCATGTGGATTTGAGGCCCCAGGAAATGGTTTTCATTTTCGTCCCCTGCAGTCAGTCTTGAAATGACTTGGGTGATGTTTCATTTATCTGAAAAATACTCCAAGGGATGCAGGACATTACTGACTTCCTACTACTTATCGTGTTGTAATCAATTCAGCTGCTCTTAAGGCGACCACTGAGCCACAGAGCTGGCTCTAAAAGTGGAGCAAAATTCTCAAGCTCCGGTTCAGATCAAAGCCGACGTCAGCACCTGGAGATGGACCCCGGGCGGCGGGCGCTGTCCTTTGGGGACCACGGCTCCTGACAGAGGCCCAAGGGACATGGGATGTGGGACATTAACGTATACCTTAAATGTGTTCTTATTTGAATGCGTGATTGTCATCAGCAGGTTGGAAACTGAGTCCCATGATGGGAGCTGTGTACGGCCCAGAGCTCTACGCAGGTGAGAGGATCTACACAACTTTTCAACCCTAATATTGTGTACTACAGTTCTAACAGTTCTAACTAATGAATATTCAATTATTGGAATGTATTTTACTTTACCATGTCATGTTAATAAAATAATCATTATATATGATTCACATCTTTATTTTAACTTGAGAAAGCAGTTTTTCAGTATAAAGATAAAAGGATAAATAAGCCACATGGAATTACCAAACAACAACAATATACAGTCCCAATGAAACTGCAGAGATGTGCTTATTGTGGAAAGTCCCGTAGCATTTTAAATGTAGGTCACAGTTCCTTTGAATTTCCATCAACATGTGTGCCCTGAGGATAGCGTTTACTTATTCTCTTTGTTCATTTCTTGAGTGTTTTATTTCACGTTGCTTCTCTCTGGTTTGTATCAGTGCCAGGGTTCCCATACCCGTCAGCAGCTGCAGCGGCGGCCACCACAGCAGCAGCAGCGTTCCGGGGAGCGCACCTCCGAGGGCGCGGCCGGCCGGTGTACAGCGCTGTGCGCGCCGCGATGCCTCAGGCTGCCATCCCCACATACCCTGGGTAAATACTCGACTCACCGCACACTGCATTCAACCAGAACAGCATATATACCCTTTCATATTCACTTAGAACAGGCCCATCATCCACTATTATTGATTTGTCAACTTCTAATTTCTTTAAATTAATGCACTAGTGAAATGAATGTATATTTGAAGAGCAAATCCTAATTTGTAGGAATGTTCGCTGCAGTAGAAATATTGTTAATGTAGGAAAGGTGACCATGTCATCCCATGTACACTAAACTGCTTGTTTGATAAGCAAAACATTGCCATAATGATAACTCATGCATCTGTCCAGTGCATATCGATGTACTGTTCTTGGTAGAAAACAAATGCAAAAATGCAGCTTAGCCTTACCACTCTAGTCTGCAATTTTCAGAGTAGTGTTTCCCATTCCCATTTGAGTAGGTCTCTCTTTACAGCGGTCCTCAGACCTCATCCACTCTCTCCACTGTGCTCAGCAGCCGACTGGCACATTGTCAGTCAGTGTGCCGGCCTTTGAGACAAGTGCGATGGGTCCATTTGAATAAACAACACAGACACCGGCATCAGCTGATAACCATAAACACATCCACATCACACACACACAACCCACTGCAGCCTGTCTGCTACTGTGCATGTCGCTGCTGTGTCCGGCTGATTGGCTAATGGGGTCATGATTACAAAGATACTTGAATCAAAGCCTTGATTGGGAAATGGGGGTATGAACGCTTACTGTCACGACTGAAATTAAGCAACATTGAAAATTTGGGTTGTAGGAAATACCCTCTCCATTAGTGCTCCACATTTAAAATGCACAGGGCTCTGAAGTGGCCCATCCCTGGGAGACTTTCAGCAGCCGAGGAGCAATGGCAGTTTGTAGTTTCATTTGGCCCAATGAACATTTATATTGCTCCTGTGGGTCTATTGTGCATTAGGCTTTAGTTGTGGGGCTTCAATGGAGATTTTATTTCCTCTGCATGCTGCATGGGTGTGAAATAACTGTTGTTTCTCTCTTCTCTCCCTCCTCCTCTCTCTACCCCCTCTGTATTTGGTTGCTGTGATGTGAATCGCCTCCACTTTGGTTTTGGGACTGTGCACCACCATCTGTTCCTCCACCGCACTCCCCCTCTCCTTTCCTCTCTCCTCTCCACTCCTCTCCTCTCTTCTATCTTTCTCAGTGTGGTCTATCAGGATGGGTTTTACGGAGCTGCAGACTTGTATGTAAGTAAACTCACGTCTCACCCACACCGCACTCTCCCCCTCACTGCTTTTCTCTTTTGTTTTTCCTCTGCGGGTGATTCTGCATGTGAGTCCACTCGCCACAGACTGCCTGGCTACAGGTGACTGAGCCCTTGATGGGAATAAAATGAACCAAGATTTATCACACTTTTCAACTCCATACACAATTTAGAGAAGCCTTTCTTCTGGTGCCAGAAGGTCCTCACTGTAAAAGCTTATTTCTCTTGAAAACGTAGGTGTTGGAAGTAATTGGCCAATAACAAAAAGACTATTAATCTTTAGTTGGAACAATTTAGATCTATATTGTCTTAGATTAATTCCAATTGATATTGAATTCAAATTAAATACCATTCACCATTAGTTTAAAGCAGGTCATCAAATGGACAAGGCGTCTCAGATATACAGACAGCACCTCAGTCCAGGCTTAGGGCCTCAGTCCCTGGCCGGGCTGTTCTGTGGCGGGCGCTGCATCGCTGGAGCAGTGTGAGTGTGTAACCAGGTTGACCACGGTTGTTTTTGTTCTCTCTATAGACTAGTGTTTCAGGACTCAGTGCTTAGTCCCAGGTTGCCTCAGGTAGGGTCAAAACCAAACCCTCGAGTGTGCATTGTTTGACTTCTACTACTACTACTTCCTTTCACTGATCTTTTACGAATCATCTTCTGATCCAGTCTGGAAACGTTTTGTCTTCTAGTTGTTTTTATTTTATTTTCAAAACTACTGCTTTGAAGTTTGCTTCCTACTAACAAGATCAGGTCTCTCTGTACTAAACACTAAATTATTAAGTTTTTTCAAAAGAGTACCAGGTCTCTTTCTCTTGTCGAAAAGTTTCAAGCGGCGCCCACAATGCTTTTCCCCTTTGTTTTTCTAAATTGATACGCCCACATTATGACAACTGCAGGAAAAAGCTGCGGCCTGCCATTGATCTCGTCCTTTCTCGTTGAAACGGAGAACATGGTCTCTTCCTGAATTAACCGCCCTCTCTCTTATGAGACGATTACTGAAGCATGCGCCCATCAGCTGCTGCATGAAGATATACTGTTACACTCCTCTGTGTCCTTCTTCACCTCCACTTACCCAGAAAGCCTTGCAGTGTTCTCTAACAGCCTGCCTGTCCCGCCCCTCCACCCTGTGTCGCGGGAACTCTCCGAGAATGTTGTATTTGTGCTTTGCTGTGCTCTGTCCTGGTCAGGTCCAATGCAGTGGTGTGGTGTTGATTTGAAGGTTTGGTAAATTTGGAAAGATTGTGCATGTGCCGTCAATGCAAAGAGGTGATTAGCGTTAGTCTAGGCTTGTGTGTGCGTGTGTTTGTAAGTGTCTTTCTCCATATGTTTCCCATTCACGTCAAAATCCACATATAAATAATCATATTAATGACATGTCAACTCTACTTGTAGTGTCTTTACGGCAGTTTTCTTTTCTGTAATCCCATAGACCTGGAAATACGGCGAGGTTTCTATGGGCCTCTGTTTTCACTCTCTCTCTCTCTTTTGTAGTGGTAATAATCCAGTCTAACGCTACTCTGACAGTCCAATTTCCTTCTTCTGTCTCATTGATAAAATGCTGCTGTTCCACGAAATTCCCCCCTTTCCTCATCTTTTCGAAATGCAATACGCTGGCACATGAATAACTTGTATTGTAACATAAAGGTGCTGTATCTTCGACCAGGGCTGCAAACTGTGCCTGGGTGCAAATATAGAACTATAACAATTCTAGCTCAGAAGTAAATTTATATTGCTTCACTAAAGACTTTCATTCCCTCTAGTAACTGTGGAAATAGTAAAGCTGGGGTACCTAACTTTTTTCTCTTTTTCTATAGAAAGTCCTTGAAAAGTCATATTTTGTGTACAAATCAGACCACAACATGCTGTCTTGATCATATTAAAACACGTATACTCTTTTAGGCACTTATAAGAATGAGTCCTGTGAGTGACTATTGATGCTTTGGGCTGAGAGCTGATTGGCGAAAGGAGTGAAGTTGGTCCTTTTTTTGTCTGAAAAATCTGATCTAAAGTCTTGACAGAATCCAGAAGTACATGATGTGAAAACTAGTGATAGAACCAAACTGTTTTGAGAGCGAGGAATTACATTATATCACAGATACATTTTTTTGTGTTAAAAATTTGGGTGCCTCAGCTTTAACAGTGACTTATGCGTGCGTACAGTACATTATATTAAACTGTTATTTATTACAGCACATCAGTAAAATTTCAAGTTGCAAAGATAAGATCACATTTGGCATCAATATGATCACTCAGGGAGTGCAAAAGACAGGAAATGTGCAAACATGTTAAAAAGTGAAAAGATACTTTCTTTTGTGCAAGATTTCTTATGTACAATTAAATGAAAAGTGACTGTAGCAGAGTCATGACACTTGGCATTTGTCGTCTGTGAAGCCTCACAGATCCGCGTGCAGCCGTGGCCAAAGAACAGCTCGTTTTGTTGAATAATTAAAGTCCCCGCTTTGGCCTCCAGTGTCAGTCTGTGGCATTTCGTCACTCATCCGCTCTCGTCCCGTCAGCTCTGTCTGTGAGTCAGTCTCTCTCGTTTGTCTTCAGGGTGGGTATCCTGCAGCCGCCGCGGCCGCCGCCTATCGTTACGCCCAACCAGCTGCTGTAACCGGGGCAACCGCTGCAGCTGCCGCCTACAGTGACAGGTGAGGTCACTCCGGGACACGGTGTAACGAGGAACAAGTGGATTTAACAGAGAAACGTTTAGTCAGTTTAGTGTCTGAAAAAAACTGATTTTTTTTTATAAGTTTGTAGACACATTCTTCAGATATAGTTAGAGCCAAAAAGAAATGTAACATTGTCTTTTTTTTATCTTCATTGGAAGCATCAAGAACGAAAGTGACAAATTGCATTACAGAACTATGCAAATAAATATTTACATGAAATCCATACAGATAAGAAATAAAAGGAAAGGGGAGGGATTCTTATGTAGTCCTGTAGTACTGTATTTAGTATCTATTTTCATATTGGCCTCTAGTTTTAGTATTAATTAATATGATTTTCAGTACTTTTGACCCTCCTACTTCACACAAACATTGATGTTTTTATCGGTGCTCCGTCTTTCCTATGAAGACCATTTGATTTTCTAAAAACCTTAGACTTGCATTTCCTTTGCACTAATATAATCTCACTCTCTGCGTTGTGTGTTGCCCTAAAACTCTCTGATAAATGCTCTACATCCACAACATTAACAATCTATATTTATTCTAAAGCAAAGCTGATGTTTTTCCATTGAGGCAGATGTCATCTTCTCTGCACCTAATCTTCTGCTAATATAATCCATCCACCTGGCATTTTGAGAGCACCCATTCCGACGTGGGCCCGTCTTGTGACCGGTCTTTGGCGCAGCTGTGCAATCATTATGTGTAATCATCATCTTTATGTCTCACCTGTCACAAAACGGAATCTCGGCTCAGGAAAAACCTCTCGCAACACGACTGTTTATTTCTTACTATTATTATTATTTTTATTATTCAAACGTGAAAAGCGGTCTTTATTTTCTCCTCGTAACTTCAATTAATTAAAGAAGACAAGTGGGTGTGCGTTTTGTAATTACTGTGAATGTGCTAATGGATAAATCAGCAGGACTCCAGTGAGATGTTAATTATCTGTTGTTTCCTCTGAGGACTCTTTTTGTTTTTGTTATGTTGCAGTTATGGCAGAGTGTACACTACAGACCCCTACCACGCTCTGACCCCGGCCGCCGCCGCCGCGTACGGAGTGGGAGCCATGGTGAGAGAACGAGCCGTTAAACCTCAGACTCTGGGGCATACATGACTTGTGTTTTTAATGAGGGCAGCGGCGAGCTCAAACGGCATCAGATTATTCTGTAGCAAAGTGGGGTTCGCTCAGGATCAATGCAGTGATGTTTGTGAGACAAGACAATCAGAGCATTTTAAACACGTCGTCCATTCTAATTCTTTATTTGTTTATTTTATTATCACAACATGGAGTCTACGTGCAGCCCGGGTCTCCTCCCTTCTCACCCCAGAGACCTATTTTTTCAGGACAAAAATAGCAGCTACTCATGTAAAGGCAGGTGAAAGAAAGCCAACATACTGGTGCGCTACAAGTGATGCCTTTTGACATTATTAAAACAATATTTACCACTGGGACAAGTGGCTTTAGTTTTAATTACCTGTCCCATTTGCAAGTCTTGTTTTATTCAGGATATTATTAAATATGGTTCCGCTAGTTACACTGTTATAAAGTGTAGATTGCTATAAAAATCTAGTTGTGACTCAATATGTTAAAAATAAACCAAAAAGTCAAAATAAATAATGGTATTTAATTACATGCAATAGTTACAAGATACATACGGAGACAACACAAGAAAATAAACATGCATACAAACAAGGACACATGGTGGAGAGAGAGGCTAGGGCCCTCAGCAGCAGGCCGTCCGCTACATGGTCCTGTCAGAGAGACGGTCCACAGACAGACAGACCCCAGTGAGAGACACCCCCCATATGTATCAGCTGTGGTCAGTCACTCTGAGGGGTCTGGACACAGGGTAAAAAAATCATGTAATAATTTATTACCACACAAAAAGCAGCCAAAGCAGACTTGCACAGAACTACAGTTGTGGTAGTAATATATTGAAATATTTATCATATTTTTATAGATACTTTGTGGAGCTATAGGTTGGAGAGACCCCTCATGTATGGTATACATCCAAAGCGTCTTATTGACTCAAAAATCAATACATTTTTTAATCACTGAAACTCCCAGGTACAACCGTATCTTAATATTTTCTATTTCAGCAATAGCATTACTATTGCAACAACACATCATGAGTAGGGTCAAACTAACATGTCTCACGACGGTCTAAACCCAGCTCCCCCTCCCTATTAGTACTGAGTAAATGTGATATTAAAGAAACAAATAGGTTATAGAAACACCAAATACTTATATTTCTACTAAGAAGACAAGAAGAATTTTCCTAAACTATCGGTGATATTACAGGGTCAAATGCCCAGAAAAAAAACATCACCTATAGATAAGACTACATTGTTGATCTAGCGGTAAAACTTCTGAGGAATCTATGATGAAATGACTGAAAAAGAATCTTTTCTGCAGTACCCAGCAGCCTTTGCTTCTGAAAGTCAGTTGTTTTTTTTTTTTTTACTTCAGTGCATCATAAAAAAGTGGTTATTTTTGTCAACACTGCACATTTTGTATAGAATGAAGCAAACCCCACTCATTATCCTGTCTCCTCCGTGTCTTCCAGGCCAGTTTATACCGGGCGGGCTACAGCCGATTCGCTCCCTACTAAACAACACGACTCCAGAGGAATTTCTCCTGGCTTCAAAAACACCAAACCCTTTTTCAGGCTCATTCCTTCAGACTATACTGACAACTCGTGTCGTGCGCCCCCCCCTCCTCCTCCTCCCACCCACCATTATTTCTCTGGCTTGTTTGTATGTGGCGAAGAGGTCACTGCCACATTGTCAACTCGCCTGTCTCTGTGCTTTTTCTGTCCCCCGCCCGGCACGGAAACGATGGAATAATCCGCCACATGGAAATAGCTGGAGCTTAGTTCCGTTGCCGACTATTTATCATGGGTTTTATTTTTTAGCAGCACTACAACGAGAGACTTGAACCTGCAACCATTCACAAACACGATATCCACTGCCCTATTGTACACTTCCCGCTCCCAGACCACGGTCTCCACTACATTTCAAAGCGTGGCCCAGTGCAGGAACTCGCTAAGGCCCGCTTCAAGACGGTACTATACGTTTTTACACTACATCCCCCGGACTACGATTAAGGTGAAAAACATCTGAACAGAAGAAAAATGAACTTGTCTTGAAGAAACCACTGTTGTACGAGCAACACTAAAACGCATGAGAAGTCTTTCCCCTCCAAAAAAAACCCAAACTGTACAAATCCATTTCAAACTGACAAAGAAAAACTGTGTCGCTACATTTTGTTGCCATGAAGAAAAAAAAGAGTTGCATAGATATGTTTCTTGTCCTTGTTGACTTCTTTGAATACTCCCATTGCAACTTGAGCTCGCTCCTCCCAGTGCTGATGCAATTGTTTTTTACCCCGTTTCGGAGAGAACCCAAGGCCTGTCCATGAAGTTTTACTGTATCTCTGCAGATCACATTCAGCCTTTGCCTTAAAAGGATTTGAGTCTGCATTGGACAACCACGAGACATTCCAGTTAACAGCTTTGTTGTTATGAATGGGTCACATGGAAGACCCAGACGAAAGATGGAGATTTGAAAGAACACCCACAAGGAGAGCTAATCATCTGCCGGTCGGCCGATTGAGATGCATTGAAATATTTCTGCCTCAGGGCTCCGGGCTCAGCGATGTTCATCAGATGTTCACTCCATATCCCCGAATCCCAACAGAGCAGCCCACTCTGGAAATGGCCAATCACGGCGATCAAGTGTAATGGGCTCACGGAATCAGTGTGGCAAATGAATCTTGCTTCAGTAATTAAATTTGAAATAGTCTTGTCATGAGGCAGCACACTGTTTATTATCATGCTTTCTAAATTTATGAACGGTTTAATCCATCCCCAAAACAGGACGGTCTCACGTACTCCTCGTCTGTATACTCTAGATGTTTCACATGTTGTCTTTTTAGTTCCAAAGATTTTCTTTTAAAGAAGCACATTTTTGGGTAATGATGATTGTGTCATTACTTTTGCCTTCATTATATTGTTTTTTTTTGTATCATGTTTTCTGTCCTAGTGGGTGAAGTGAAGCAGTCACAGAAATGTCAAAGACAAAAAAGATGTTGCAGCGACTGGGCTATTCCTGACCAACTAACAAACCGGTCCACTCATTTTAATGCCTGGCTTTTTTGCGTGAAAAAGCCATTGAGGCGCAGACAAAGGGAAAATCCGAGACATGAGGGATCACAACAACAGGGGATGTTTAATCTTTGTTTGCCTCGAGGTAAATAGGAGGGAAACGTCCAGTCGATGTGGAAAGGGCGCTTTTGGGGGTCTCCGCAGTGGTCACCTTTTGCCACAATGCATGCGAGCGTGTGTGTGCGTTTGTTTGTATGATGTGTGTGTGTGTGTGTGCGTTTGTGCGAGCGTGTGTGTGCGTTTGTTTGTATGTATGTGTGTGTGTCTGTATGCATGCGTGTGTGGGGCAAAGGCAGCGCTACACGGCCACAGTGAAGGTGACAGGCTGCCTCATTCATCATTCTGACAGCACGGCCACACTCCCACCTCCTGCGTGTTTGCGGACAGAGTCAGGAGGAGTGATGTTGTGCGAACGTGAAAAAACCAGTGTGCAGTAGGTTCAACGAGTTTTTTTGTTGTTGTTGACACGTATACCTCTTTTTTTTTCTTTTATTATTCCTTAAAAGTATTATCAGAAGTGTTGCTATGCATGCTTTTGTCAGAGGAAAGGTTTTAACTTGCATGAATTGTGTTATGCTGGAGGACTTTCCGGACAGCTGACCAGACGGCAGAGGAGGACCGCTCTGCTCTTGATGCTGCGACCGAAGCAAAACACTCTCTGACTGCAGATTTACTTCAATAATCCTAGTTATGATCGTTCTGTGCCCAGCAGTAATTACAAGTCATAAGATATTTAATTTGCTAGTGCTGACCCAGTCTTTAGTAAAGAAAGTCAAATGAATCTCTGCGCCAGCGTTGGCCCACTTCAACACACAACGGCCCAGCGGCAGTTTACGGGAAATGGCATCAGTAGTTAATGAATGTGGCAGTATTATGTATTATGCAATTAGTAGCAGCTCTTTTTAGTGGTCTCGTACTAAGCAAGGAACCAGCGGGCACTCGTTTGAGATCTGAGTCTGGGAGAGAGTAGGTGTGAGGTGTATGCGGGTCCTCCTCTGCTGCCGGCCGTCCTGACTCTGAGCCGCTGACCTTTGGCTCCTGCACTGTGCTCAAGTCGACCCAATGGGAGGTTTTGTACATGGAATTACTACGTGGTTTTGAAATGCATGTGCGTGTTTTTCTCACGTCACATGCTCTAAAAAGCCCATTCCCAAGTGATATATTTTTGTTTTCAAGTGATATGTATTTTCACAATGTTTTACTTTGCCATTCTTGTGTCTGCCTTCAGTTTGTTCCCTTTCATTATTATTGAATGTATATACTAAATAAACTGTTTGGTTTTTATTTGAGTTGAGTTCTTCTTACACTGTGTGCTGCTTATCTGCAGCTGGTACAGACCAGCAGTTTTGGGATGGTTACCATCATGTTATTTCCTTCCCATGATTGTCTCTGCCTTATCGTTGTTTCCAGCGTCTGGCTGGGACGGCTGTCCAATCAGAGGAGAGGACCCCAGAAATAGTCTGGATCACTCACTGCAGAGAGATAAAGGTGCAGTTTCCAACAGAGCAACTACTCAGAGAAACTATGTGATCCAATCTCGGCATCTGCAGCTCCAGCTTGTTCAGGCAGTCTGCATTCACTCACAGCTGGTGATTAGTTTAAATTACGAATACAATGAATGCGTCTATGTCCAATTAGTTCTGATCAATCAAACTGTTTAATTATACGTATTGAAACATTTGTAACTGGTTTATTGAATGTCTAGTGCAGGAGAAGTCTGTGAAATGAAGGTAAAAAGGTTATGCCAATCGTTTACGATGAAGGTTAAATGTACATAATTAACTCTCGCGATACTTCTGCAGGAGTCAGTGATATGATAGATCCACGTGTGTCTCGTACAGTCTGTTAAAGGTTGAGCTCGCTTACTTGTGCTTTATGTGGATAGTTTCTGGGTGGTGAGCTATGGATGTCTCATTATGACGCCCTCGGTGCACGATCCTGTCTGTAGAGCTAAACTCGACCTAACCTCAACTTTCCCTCCCGCTGCTGAGAACGTATCTGGAACCATTTCTAATTGCATGTGGAGTGAATGGCCGTGAATGGGTTGGATGTGACGGGAAGCCTCATATTCCTGCTAATTGCTCGAATGCTCAAGAGGCCAATTGGCATGGACTCTGAGTGTCATTGGAGGCAGCCTAATTGGAGAATATGGAGCCGAGTCCGCGCTGGGACATGACCTGAAGATGCCCGGGTCAGAAGTTCGGAACAGGTCATATATGCGAAATGGAATCCTCTGATTGTGTTCAAACAGGAATAATGATTCTTTTAGCCCCTCAGAGTGGTTTATTGTAGGCTTCAGATATATACAATACCTCAACACTGACCCCTGGTGGCGACAGTTTAATCCTGCGCTCCTCACTAATATATGCAATGCTGTAATACCATGGGACAGAAATGGTAACGATACCTTTCAGCAATTCAATTTAAAAGTACTTTTTATAGCCTTAAAGCAAAACAGCAGCCGTCTCTGAGGACTTTGAAAAGTTGTCAATCGCCAAGAACAGATCAGAGAATCAAACCAATCGTAACAAACACACAGGAGCTATAGGGAGCAAGACGCACTGTCTATTACTCCCTATGCAATACCGTCGTGAGACAGGTTAGTTTTACCCTACTGATGATGTGCTATTGCAATAGTAATTGCAATCTGTAAATTCCTCCCTATGCAATAGGGAGCAATAGACAGTGGTCTGTAGAATATTAAGATTAAGAGATCTTTTGTTTGTCCCACAGTGTAGAAATTTCAGTGTTGCGTCACAAGTTATAGAACAGTAGGAAAGAGGAGCACAGCATAGACCAAGGTCTATAAATGTTAATAAAGGTCCCGGATCATTGGCATCCTTTAGATTCGCCTGCATCAGCAACAAACAACTCAATTATTATTATTTTTAAACAGTGGGGGAAAATTGTGAGAAACCTGAGAAGTTCAAATTGAGAGACAGATTGGGCGGGTCCCACGGACAGACTGTAGATCCAGGACTGACTCTGTGGATCCAGGACTGATGCTGTGGATCCAGGACTGAAGAGGATCCCAGGTTAGAGCCTGTTATCAATTAACCAACCTTTATTATAGAGCGTTTTTCCTACACAAAGTGCCTCACAGCCCCTAGGCATAAATCCTCACATAAATCATATATTACATTCATGTTCATTACATTCATATGTACCATTGTTTGGCTTTTTACTTCTACATACTTATTATGAAGTTTGTTTAAACCATTTCAAATTAATTAAAGATTTTTATTTATTTATTTATTTATGAAGTTATGACAACCACGATAATGATAATAACCATCCATCCATCCATTTTCTACCCTTTAATCCATTTCTGGGTCAGGGGGGTGGCAGTCAGAGATGCCACCCAAGTCTCATAGCACCAGCCCCTCACTGATCCTCTGCAGGTGGTGAGTCCACAGGAGGACGGCTGCTCTCTGAGTGTGAGCATAGCCTTGATCTTTCAGTGGGGGCTTTGGGCAAAGTGGGGTTAAGTGTCTTATATTATATTGTGTATTATATTAACACAACAGTTTCTTATAGTGGAAAGACCTCTTTGTTGAATTGTTAAGGACCTGCCACAACAGTGAGTTTAAAGACATGTAAATCAGAGCCAGTGTTGTGTTGCCATGCCTCCTGTGAGCTTATCTCCTCTCCTCATGCGCACAGTTCTGAGGCCGCTCAGGGGCCGCCCAGGAGCCCCACGGTTTGGCTCCTTCAGACTGACAGCTCCTCCTGGTGGCTCTCTTCCTCTGATCCTCATCCGTGCAGACTGCAGGTAACATCCAAGCACCAGTGAAGGAAATACAGCCCATTCTGGCTTCTCATTCTTTAGCACAGACATCTCGCTGGCAGATTATAAAACATAAAACATATTTACAGGAGATGGACAATGAAAGGGCCACAGGTCTCTGTCCACTGAGAGCATGAGTCAGTAGTGTCCAGTGTTAAAGGATCATCGATAGTTCAGGCTGAAGAAGATCAAGTGTAGTTTTAGGGTCATGTTGCAAATCAGGTGCATTTAGAATCTGACATCTGTGATTCTTTTTAAAGGTTCCTTTCGAGGGTTTGCACTGACCTCTCAATGGAGAAAGTGTTGTCTGGAATATTGCACTATTAAACATGAATATCTCTGTAAACCAGCAGGACACTGGTGCCACAGTGGGCAGGCTGCAGCAGTAAAGTGCCATACCGCTGTTACATACTGGTTCTCTCACTTCTGTCTCTGTGCCCCAGAGCAGCTGTGGCTACACTAATAGTTTATCATCATCATGTATGAAGTGACTAAATAATGCCATATGACAGCATTAAAAGTAGATATTTCTGGAACACATGCCACATTCTACGTTTATAAAGGCTGGATTATATCAGGGATATTTTGGTCTCATACAATAGTTAAAGACGTATCTACATTGTGGCTGGTGTTGTTTTGGGGTCTATGATAGTCCGGTGTATCTGTTTTGTTGCATGCTCCTCCAGTCTCTTTGTTAAAATCATTCCCATAGTGCCGAGCGTTTTCTCCTCCTTCTGTTCTTCGCGGCTCGACTGAATAATGGCCTCAGGCTGTTGCGGCGAAAGTAACTGACTCAATAACCTTGAGGCACTACAGCAGGGAAATGATCATAAAAAAACATAGTTAGTTTGATGCCAGAACCAGAAAGCAGATGGAGACCTGGACACTACACCCTCACAGTTCCTCAGTATTCTCTCTAATATCCGTTGTACGGCTCCTCGTAGTTTGTCGTGGAGGGGCGAGGGATGGAGTAGTCTCTCTCTGGGTCAATTTCCTGCAACACAAATATGCCTTAAGATCACACACTGCAGTTAATATGCATAATAACTTACAATCTATCTTACAACACGACCTAATCGCCGCCTGTGCTAAAAGGTTGTTGCTTAATTACTACAGACGGTTAATGCTGCTGCTTTACTCACTGTCATGGAGAAGCCCGATTCGTAGGGCGAGCGCAGTGTGGGCTCCGTCCTTCTGCCTGCGGGGACAAACGCTATTAGCTCATTATCACTGCTACGTCCCCTTCATCATAAAGGCCACGCTTAGAGAGCCATTATAGCAACACTCCATCACTCGGAACATGCAAGCGATTCAATTCACGCGAGCTGGTAGATAGAGACGCATCCAGGCCAAAGCTAAACTGGTATTTCAGCTTCACTCTCCCTCAAGGCGTTTCCCACGGATTATCAAGTCATGTCAAACATCGACACTGCCCACATTTAGGCACTGTCTACATTTCAATTTCATGTGTTTTTGTATCGCTCTATATTCCAACAGTCTCAAAGGACTTTACAAAGTTGTTGATTATTACTTTAAAAAATGTATTGATGTATTGACCTTTATTTAATCAGGGAAGTCCCACTGAGAATGGCGACAGTAGCTCAGTTGGTAGAGCATTGGCCTTTGGGCCTGAAGGTCGTGGGTTCGAGCCCACCATAAGACCTACTTCACGACTCCCACTGATGACTGCTGTTGTTGTGTCCTTGGGCAAGACACTTAACCCTACTTTGCCCAAAGCCCCAACTGAAAGATCTCAGCTCCTGTGGACTCACCACCTGCAGGAGGATCAGTGAGGGGCTGGTGCTCTGTGTACTGGGTGCAGCTCTGACTGCCACCCCCCCGACCCAGAAATGGATTAAGGGGAAGAAAATGGATGGATGGATGGATGGAAGTCCCACTGAGAATGCACAGAATCAGGAGTGGAGTGGGGTAAGGTGATATGGGGGACTTCTGTTCATGTTTTTAATGGTAGGGGTAAACCGGAGCATCCAGGTAAAACCTAATAATAATAATAATAATAATAATAATAATGCCTTGGTTTTATTTAGCGCTTTTTTGGACACTCAAAGACGCTTCACATGTTTGTATTCATTCACTCCATACACAGTGGTGATAAACTACTAATGTAGCCACAGCTGCCCTGGGGCACACTGACAGAAGCGAGGGAACCAGTATGTGCCATCGGCCCCTCCGACTGCCACCCACAACCATTCACACACACACCAGACTCATTCTAGGCAATGTGGGTGAAGTGTCTTGGCTAAGGACACAACGGCAGTTTGGCACTTTACCTTTGAGCCTTTAGGCCTTTAGGCTCAAAGGTCAGTTGGTAAAGCCAATGCTCTGTCACCCCCAAACCTACACAGACACGGAGAGAACATGCAAACTCCACACAGAAAGTTCTGCAGGTGGAATCGAACCTAAGACCATCTAACTGCGATGCCAACCGAAGGCGAATAGGAGGCAAATTACCAATGTCCATAAATATTAATAAATGTGTAGAAATGTCCTAAATCTCTCAGATCATCTCTGTACTTAGACCTTCCTACATCAGCAAGGAACAACTCAAAAACCTCGGGTAGACCCATGTTGAGAGAGGGATCCGCTCCCACAGACCGACAGGCTCTAGATCCAGACTCAGGATTTGCAGCTAAACGCATGCAATCCTGAAGTCCTTGTTATACTGCTGTTTTTAACCAAATGCATCTGTAGACTTAGTCAATGCAGAATCCAATGCCATTAAACTCCTCCTTCTTCAAAGTCATTTTTATGTGCACTAAATACTGGCAGTTGGAAAGACATCAGCTTCAAAGTATTTACGACTAATGCTGGTATTATTGTAGTTGCTGTAAGCTTGGTTCACAGGATTTTAATGAGGACCTCAATTCACCTTCTGACAAGCGAGCTCACTGTAACCATGACGTCCGCTTTCTCTGTCTCTATACTGTCCCTGCTGTCTCTACTGTCTCTGCTATCTATACTGTCTCTACTGTCTCTGCTATCTCTACTGTCTCTACTGTCTCGGCTGTGTCTCTGTCTCTGCTATCTCTGTCTCTACTGTCTCTACTGTCTCTGCTATCTCTACTGTCTCTACTGTCTCTGCTATCTATACTGTCTCTACTGTCTCTGCTATCTCTACTGTCTCTACTGTCTCGGCTGTGTCTCTGTCTCTATACTGTCCCTGCTATCTCTACTGTCTACTGTCTCTACTGTCTCTTTCTCTTCTGTCTCTATTGTCACTACTGTCACTACTGTCTCTGTTGTCTCTGCGTCTTTCTCTGCTGTCTCTGCGTCTTTACTGTCCCTGCTGTCTCTGTCTCTGCTGTCCCTGCTGTCTCTGCTGTCCTGGCTGTCTCTGTGTCAGGATGTCTTGCACATGTAGAGACCAAACCCGTACATAACTGCAGTAAGACAGAATCTCGTGGATTACAGAAACAGACTGTTATTAGGCGCGGTTTGCAGAACTTGGCGCTGGCCTTGTTTGTGTCATTCTGTTAAAAAAGTGCAGATCTGCTGACGCCAAGTCCACAACCAATTTCAGTCTTAAAAGATCTAATAGTGATTTATCGTCCCTTCTGTGCAGCGAAGTGGTGTTTTATTGGAACAAATTGACATTGAATAAAGTGCCTGTAATAGAAATTGGAAAAGCGTCAATGATGCACAACATACAGCAGGTCTGAACAGCAGAGTTTAGATCATTGTTTTTTCGGTTGTGAGTCTTTATCTTGATCAAGTATTACATTATACGTTCTTTACCTCAGGAGAGTCAAATGGAACATTAGTGGTGAAAGGATTAATCTAAGGCAGTCTTGACAGCAAACAGAAAACAAGAAAAGCCAGGAGTCCCTCGGATTTCCTCTTTTCTCCAATGTTACCTGTAATTTTTTCACTGCTGATCCTGATGAGCGCCTGACAAAAGTGGACCCACTGTAGCGATCATTTCTCTTAAACTTTTGGGACATTAGTGATGTTTTAGGACTAGAACTTGAATTATAAGGTTTTCAATAGTGTGTAGAACTCAGAGAGACTTCTACATGCCTGCATTATTACTGTAAGAACCGCAGTATTACTTTTGTATCTTGTGCTGTATTTATTCTCCCGTGACTTATTAGTAGACATGATATGATACTGGTTTGAAGATATTCAGACAATATCATGAACGGGCCTACATTTGGATGTAATTCGCCTTGTTTTCTGGCTGACATTAGGACGGAATGTCATGTACAGTGGATTTAACCTTTACTCAGATTGTAGTTACTACAGGACCTTCCAATTAGGTCTATCATTATTTATATTTTGGGTTGTAGGTATCAGTTTTTTGAACCATTAAAACCACAGCTTAAAATAGATAACACCTTTGAACTTTACCAGTAGCTAAGAGCATTAGCTACTGTTATTAATCGTTACTATGTTGTTTATATTACAATCTCAATTTCATTCCGTATTCCATAATTGTGATATTAAGATGTTTTTAAATGTTCATCCATCCATCCATTTTCTTCCGCTTCATCTGTTGCCGGGTCACGGGGGCAGCAGTCTAAGCAGAGATGCCCAGGCTTCCCTATCCACACACACTTCCTCCAGCTCATCTGGGGGGACCCCAAGGCGTTCCCAGGCCAGCTGAGAGACATAGTCCCTCCAGCGTGTCCTGGGTCTTCCCCTGGTCTCCTCCCGGCGGGACATTCCTGGAACACCTCCCCAGGGAGGCGCACAGGAGGCATCCGGAACAGATACCTGAGCCATCTCAACTGGTTCCTCTCAGCATGGAGAAGCAGCGGCTCTACTCTGAGCTTGTCGCGTGTGACTGAGTACCTCACCCTAGCTCTAAGGGAGCGCCCAGCCACTCTGTGGAGGAAGCTCATTCCAACTGCTTGTATTTGCCTTTTTTAAACACTGAATTTCCGAGAACTAAACCATTTCAACATTCTGAGCTTCAGTGTTGACTCACCTCTTCTGTCGCCCTCGTTCTCAAAGCTCCCGTTCTCCTTGCCTTCCTTTGGGCTGTTGAGTCCCGGCGTGTCTGCGCAGGGACTAGTCCAGCCTGCAAAGCTCAGAGGAACGTCCTTTGCCCTGGCCTCCCCCCGGCACAGGAAGGCTACTTGGGACAGCCCGTGCCCCATCAGGAACACCCACCCATTCCCCACCAGAGCTATACTCAGCACCGGATCATCCCACACGGGTCGCTTCCCAACCTCAACGTTCCCTCGGGTGAGCATGGCGATCCACACCACCCATATCGAAGCGGACAGTATGAGCGTCAACGCTAGCAACAAGGCTTGGAAGTGTGCGTTCTGATTAGAGGGTCCCGAGTAGCTGTAGCTCGTGATGCAGGAGCGACACATGAGGTTGAAGGAGATCACCAAACTGATGGCGAGCAAGCACAGGACGTAGATCAGCAGCATCACAAACTCCTCTTGCTTGTATTCGCATGGCTTCCCATCTCGAACCAGGACCACGATCAACCACTGCGTCGCAATGATGACCTGCACCATGAAGAGGCCTAACGCCACGCCGGTCTCACCCCAACCTTGGGCGGCCGCAAACCCCAGGAGAGCCAAGCAACGAGCCAGAAGGCAGGAGAACGCCAAGGAGAACAAGACCCCGAACAGGAACAGGCGCGTTGGGCAGGTCTGCGGGGTCAGCTGGATGATGAAGGCGAAGGTGATGCCAAATATTCCGGCCGTAGAGAGCAGAAACATGGACATGCAGGCCACCGTCCCGCCGATACAGCTGCTTTGTTTCTTGGCGTACATGCACAAAGACCATATGACCAGGCCGAGCATGAGGCCCATGGAGAGAAGGAAACCCGCGGTGGCCAAGGTCTCCAAGACGATTCCCCACACCACCCGCCGGTCGCACAAGTACCGGTAGACGGGGTCCAGTCCCGTGCCACACCCTGGGATCTTCACCGTCTTGTTTCTCGCATTCAAGGAGCTGTTTGACTGTGAAAGGCACGTTAAAGGCATCTGCCAGACCAGGAAAAGGGCTTGGAAAAGGAATCGAGGCGCCATCTTTGTTTTTCTTCTTAAATTCCTTTTGATGTGTTTCCTCCTGCATCAAAAGAGAAAAATACATGAGTACATCTGCTCTTCTGATCTCACAGTCATATATTCAATACATATGCACGACAAATTGAGATTGATTTGCTCATTTTGAAACGAGGGCGAGAGACAGTCAATGAATGAGGTGGAGAGACTGGTTGGCACTTAGAGTTGCAATGTAATGCAATTCGTTTAGGGTAGGTTTCCTCCGGGTGCTCCGGTTTGCCCTACCACTAAAAACATGCACAATAGGTCTGAATGAATGAGAGAGTGAATCAATGGTGTTGATTGGGGGCTGATGTGCCTGTGTGTTCGGCGACTTACTTCCGTCATCACCATGTGTGGAATGATTGGAACAATATCTGAACTCTGAACATTGTAAAGTGCTTTGGGTGACCTTGGTCTGTAAAAATGCGCTATATAAATAAACATTACTTACTTACTTACTTACATTTAACTCGTTGCTCGCTCTTAAATAGTTTGGTTACAGGTATAACTCTTGTTTTCTTTGTGATAAATGACACAGTGAGATTTATCAAACAGACCATTTTCAAGATGGGCTTTTAGCCATAATCATCAACACTATAACAGAAAGGCTTTTCCTGTCACTTTGCAGGTAATGAGTCTGTGTTATGTCTTGGTTTCACATTTGAAGTTGAATTACAGAAACCAAGCATTTCTATCTCTCATTTTCACATGCATGTATTTTTGGCCTCAGTCACATCTTTCAATCATCTTTTTCACACAGAAAAGTGACAAACCATCATCAGAGACTCACAGAAAATATATTTATATACACATATTTATTTAAAATCTAGTAGTTTGTGGTCCAACATTTTCACTTTTACAGTATTCCTCCTGTTGGTGCTCTCGAATCTTACTATTAATTCATTTAAAAACGTATGCCCCTCAGCTTTTATTATCTATGGAACAATCTCCAATGTTGCACAAACACAGATTAGTGTCGGTCCCTTCCCGACATCTCCTGAAATCACTAATTGACTGCATTTACGATTGTGTTTTGAATCAGCCTTGAAGCTTTGTTTGAGGTTAAAAAAAAATAATGTCTTTGCTCAATCTGACTCAAACTCGGCTTTGTGTGTCTTTGTTGAGCAACTCGCTGATGCCTTTTGTGGCTTGTACACAACCTCGGCAGCTTTTGTGAGCCTTCGGAAAATACGTTGCCTTCTGCTCAATGTATGGAGTCAGGACATTTACAATCACTATATGAAGGGGAGGGGGCAAACGAAACCAAAGAAATCCTTGACGCTAAAGACGAGAGCGGATAAACAGCACATGGAGACAGACACGGACTCAAAGCTGCCTCTGCCGCTTCATGCACTATAAATATATCCAATGATCACATGTATACGGCTGAGTCTTATCTGGTTTTGCTCTGGCTCTAAGATAAACATGCAGCACTCCTTTTGTGGCGTCGTGAGTGTAGTATTGGTTGACTGCTCCTCATGTAAACAAAGGAAGATTATTGTCACGTTGAAGCTTAGTCTAAACTGTGAATTCATTTTTTTTTCCAAAGTATATCAGAGCAGTCATCATGGTATTTCCTGTTTCTCTCGGGCTAGGGGTCTTCAACCTATAGCTCAGGAGCCTCCAAGAAGCTTCCCAAAGGATCGAGTGATTTCAAATAACAGTATTGGGGTTATTGTTTCAAATGTTTTGTTTCTCATATCTAAAACTATTATGAATATTTAACTTAGTGCGATACTAATGGATAATAGATTGGTTGCAGTTAGATACACCCATAAAGCAATCCAAGGCATGTCACCACAGGATTATCTAATTGTCTTTTGAACTGCTTAAATAGTACAGCAGTAGTTTCAGATTCATGCAGCTAAAATCTGGAACCGTCTTCCGGAAAATGTGAGAGAGACTTCTTGAGAGACGCAGTTCTGTTTGCCTGTGCATACAACTGTTTTAATGCATTGTTAATTATTATTTTTATTCTTGTAATGTTTTGAAATCACATAAGGGATTGTAAGGGATAATTGTGATTTTAATTGTGTTTTTAATAGTGATTTTTGTGTTTTTTGTGATGATTTGTGCCTTGTGTGATGTGGACTGTGAAGCGCTTTGTATTGCTCTGCGTAGGAAAAGCGCTCTGCATATAAAGATTGATTGATTGATTAATAGTAGAATAGTAAAATTTTTCTTCTGTAAAAGTAGCTTTCTGTAGCAACTTGCTGCTCTAGGAGGGTCTGTAAGTCTTGTGAGGTCTAACTAAAAGGAGAGTAGTGGTGATACAGGACACTCAACATTCAACAACACTTATGGACATTGGTCATCTGCCGCTTATGGACCAATACCAATGTGTTTTACGTTTTATTTCTTGTGTTTGAACTGTTTGGTTCTCTGATCTGTGTTGGCGAACTCAACGGTTGTGCAAAAATCCTCAGAGATCTCTATTGTTGTGATTTAGGTCATACAAGAATGAATTGAATTGAATCTAGGAGAAAATCGTGCACTTTCACTTTGATATAAAAAAATGAATTTACACCCAATGCTTCATATCTGGAGATGCTTAATTTTTACTACTTTAGGATACCACATGGGAGATCTGGCTGATTTCAAACCAACACATTTCAACACATTTTCATTCATTGGCCACAAAGAGCATCCGGCTGTATGTAGAACAGCAGAGTTTGGCTGTTAATAGCACCACGGCAGACGTCTCTGCATCTTCGTTACTCAGTGCTACCCTGTTATTTGCTCATACAGCTGATGGTTATGGCAGAAAAATAACAGACTGCAGCTCGCAACTCTTTGTGTTGGTGAGTGATTTGCGTTCGACCTTCACTGGCCTCTAGAATAAAGAAATGGCTCTCGCTTCATTGTTGGTTTTCGTGCTGTAGTGAGAGCTAAACTCCCACCGCGCTATTAGAACAGAAATAACTACCCTTTGTCTACAATCTATATGCAAAATGTTATTCATTTCTGTAAATCAACTTCAAATGTGAAACCAATATATGATATAGACACATCTGCCAAGCCTTTTATTTGTCATAAATGTGATGATTATGGCTTACAGTGCAGTTTATAAATATTCAAATTTTCTGATATGTTTTTTGAGGGTTTCTCACTAACTATTATTATCAATATTATACTAAATACTGGCTTGATATACTTCATATATATCCTGTCATAGAGTTTCACATTGTACATTTAATTACAGAAGTAACTTTAAGCTATTTTAATAAATAAATAAAAACATGTATCAAAGTCCATACACTTTTACTTTACTATTTACTTTTTTATTTTGCTATTTCCCATGTTCTTTCTATTAGTGCTTTGTAAATGGGAACTCACTGCATTAGCTTATAAGAGGGGGTCCCAAAACAGATCATGTAAAACCAATAAGTGACAATTTATACCTTTTTTGAAGTAAATTTACTTTTGAACGATCGTATCATTATCTGAGTTTCACCGGTTTATGGCTAAGAATCAAGGTAATGTTAAAAATATTGAGCTTTTCTGTAATCATTTCTAATACCTTGTGCTTTACAGCTGCGTAAGGTGAATTCAGGTGAAGGCAAACCTAAGGCTGTTTTACCACATCACGACTCCCACTCACCTTTTTCAATCCTCCGCTTGAAAATCTTAGCTCTCAGATAATCCCAAAGTGCCACTCCGAAGTCTCTCCCTTATCCCGATCCTGTGTCCATTTTGTGTTGTTGTACAAGGAAGACAAACGGAGGATCTCTAAACTTGAGCGCAGTGGCCGTCACCTCGCCCACATTTCCATAGACAGGTTTGGTAAGAGCTCAGTCTCCTGCTTCTGTCCCTCCCTCCAATCATAGGTGGGGCACTTATACCTGGAGAAAATGATACTCCACAAATACGGCACGCACACTCCCCCAAAACATATTCCAAAAAAGTAGCAGATAATACGTAATATCTGTGACTGGTTGTTTTAAGCCGAGTGATTCAAGTTGACTCATCAAAATGTTAGTCCCGTTGCCGTCGCTACCGGTTACCACTGTCGGGAACATTGCATCAAATACTGTTTTCTCCCTATTGTCTTGTGCAAGTCTATACACAGCCTCAACATCTCATGCCTGCACTTGCGGGAAGCTTATTGGGCGTTTTCACTTCTTAACCCTGTCTTGAACTATAAATTGCTCATCGGTATTTGGCCTATCATTGGGACTTGTAGTAATACATGCATGCACATATCTACGTTTGAACCACAAAAATGTCAATTCGCAAGTGCTTGGGGTTTCTCCCAGACTGTCAAATAATACTGTGGAATGTGTGACACCTGACGTAATGCGTTTCCAATATCCCCCCAGGCACTTCCACATTGTTCTGAGAGTGAAAAGAAGCTTGTTGGAGCATATATATGGAAAGAGAGAGAGATGGAGGCCCCTGTTTTGAAAGCATTGGGATTCATTGGGAGGTTTTGAATGGAAATTGTTGGATGTCTGTGTTGAAGGAGGCTGTCAGGTTGTGTAGCGGTGGTTGTGGTATTTCTCTGGCCCCCGATGCTCGCCCTGACTGACTGAATCCTCTAGTTTCCATCGCAAAAGGGCTGCACCAAACCCACTCTGCAGAAATGAGCAATCCATCAAACAGTTTCGATCAGATAACTGCGGCTGCGAAGCTTGGAGCTTTCTGCGCAGGAATAATATATCCTCGTGCCGGGAATTCTTTGATTTTAATATGTGGCTCTCTTTTTCAATTACTTCTTGCTTTACTCCACATGCGAAAAGATACAAAAGATTAATAGTGTCGCACAAAATGTTGCCGTCATGATTTTTAAAAGTTGTGTTGATTAGTGCAGCTCTGGTTGGGGTTTGGAAAGTGTAAAAGTGTAAAAGCCATTTCACATTAATGACGTCCTGCTTATCAGAGCATGTTTGCTTCCCATGTATTGTGTGAAAGAATGTGGTAGTTTCCATTCATCTATTGGATTTGAACACAGAAATCAGACTGAGGCCAAATAATTAAAATAACCATGGTTTATTGCAACTATCAGTACACAGCCTTTGAGGTGCTGCACAGTGCTCTCAGTATCAGTCTGGTTTTGTCTAGAGGGTTAGCAGAGCCAAGAGAGACACGGGACACTGGGGCTTCCTCCTCTGATGGTGCAGCGTTCCAGCTGGTGCAGTCTCCTCGTGTCCCCTGGTCACACCATGAGCACATCACACAGTAGTAAAAAGAGCGAGGAAGTAAAAAAGGTAAGAAGGTACGAAGGTCTTACTCCGAGTATATTTACAACTGATCAGACTGCTATAAGCAAATACAAGCTAGTGTTGACTTGTGTTTTGCTTGCGTCCAATGGGGTTTTGGGGAGATTGGGGGGGAGTGAGATGACAGGGGAAACGACTAGTTTAATGGGACAGTTTTGAGGAAAAGGGTTCATGGAGTTTGTTCTCGTCATCATAGTCTATGATAATACTGTCAACAGTATTGTACATAGTACATATATTATTTTAATAATATAAAAATAAAAACATGATTATGTGTCCTCTCCACTTAGTGGAGGGCAGCAGAGGTAGATGGACGAGAGGGCATTAGGGGCAGCTCACAGCCTTATATGGCACGTGGCTTTGAGGTGAAGGCTGGGCGGGTCATGCGGTGAACAGGAAGGTGGCAGCAGCTTTAGATGATGCCGTATTTGGCCAGGTCACTGAGCTCCATGTCACCAAAGGCTTCCCATGGGCACACCACAGTGATGTCTGTGCCCAGACCCTCCATGCCCGGGATGTCGTCCCCAAAGCTGCAGAAGAGAGAATCGGTCAAACAAGAGCCGTGTGTGTGTGTTTTTTTGTGTGTGTGTGTGTTTTTGTGTGTGTGCGCATGTCTATGAGGCTTGGCAGGACTTACCCCTTCTGGCCGGGCTTTGGTGCTTTGCTCTTGAATGTTCGGGTCTGCCTCTGCTTGAACTTGGGGGGGCCCTTCTTGGGCGTGGTGGGCCCATTGGCTGCACCGGCTGCCAGAGCGCTTCCTGCTGGGGGAGCGGCGTTCATTTTTGTTGAGATTCTCTAAAAACGAAAAGAGCATAGCCACATTAATGACATTCTGGGCACTTGTACCTGCTCTGCCCATCACTCCTGTGCCCTGTGCTAATCCTGTTTCCTCGCAGCTCTCAATCTAATCAGTGGAGACTACGGGGCTTAGCCTGAGCATACTTAATCCCACTCAGATCCACAGAAGACTAATTAGGCTCAAACCACAACCCTGACATGTGAAAGACATTTCTGTTTAACAGATAAAAGGTCAAACATCAGACCTTGTCCACAAAGCTACAAACAGGACACAGATCTGTAGCACAGGTACAAACAGGACACAGACCTGTAGCACAGGTCCAGGTTGTAACCCTGAGCCCAGCACCGCCCTCTGATCCTGCAGCACCCTGAGAGTTATGTAAGTGACGTGTCCCTAAAGGAGGCGTGCTGCGGAGGCCTGATCTGTGGCTCATTAAGGTAGAGTCAGCGCAGCGTGTTACAGCCATCTGCCTTCACTGCGGCTCAATCCTCTACTGCAGAAGTCACAACTGCTTATCTCACACTCCAAATGAATAATACTGTTTCAAGCAACAAGCTTCTACGCTGTTTGTTTCTTGATGGCAAAATGCTTACAGCCTCTTTATCTTAAATGAAGGACTTCAACTGTGCTTTCATGTGTAACTCAAGCTTTTGACTGAACACATGAAACAGTGATTCTACTCAAACAGAACTCAGCAGAACTATCCACTTCAGAGGCCACTCCAGAATCACTGGACCATGGCCTGGAGAATCACTTCTATTGTTTGGTATTGGTACAATAATACATTAAGGCTCTAATTTCCAGTTACTATTCCCTTTAAAGAGCACTATTGTTCAGAATGATGGGCGTCTGATTCTCTCTCCTCCTCTGCCCTGGACCATAACCCTCACCCTGCACTCACCTGTTCTCACAGATATCCCAAAGTCTTCCCCGTCTGTGTGAGCCTGTATCTCCTCTTCTGTGTGTCAGGGATAAACTCGACCCCAGGCTTTTATACCTTGTGCCCTAATCCCCGCCGCTCTTTTTTCCAATCACGTGGTGATCAGAAACGTTCTCGCAACTTCTCAACAATAGTGGCACGATGGCCCCGCCCGCAGAGCCCCGTGCTGCGCCCTGGTCCACGAGTAGACCGTGTCAGAGATCAATCTGGGAGGATTTGAGGCGACTTATCCGCATAAAGCCAGGGCCTCCTTGAGCTTCCTTTTTCCGAGCAGGAACGTGCTCCTTGCTTTGGCCGCCATGTGACGTGTGGAGGCTCCGGGGACAACACACTCTAATCTAGTATATGTCCATCATACTATGATGTGTCAGTTGAATAAAATAACATCATGATTTAGCCATATTTCTACTCCCACATGATAATGCGTTAGGTTGTTAGCCTTTAAATCGGATTGGGGACCTTTGATTATTTTTGGTATATGTGTAGAACTTTCTAGAGCGTTTCCATGGTTACTCTGAATAAAGAGAAGGGTGTTATAGACGATTGAAGGCCTGAGTGAGCCAGATCTTCCAACAGGTCTAATGTGGCCTGCAAAGGGGCTGTGACAAGTTTGGTACTTGGTTCAACCTTGTGCTCTGAAAAGATGTACATGGAACATAACACAAAAAGACAAATAATTAATTAAAGTGGAACAGTCTAAACCACTGTGATGGATAAGAATATGGATTTATCAACATTGACAGTGGTGACACATGCAGTGTGTTCTTTGGCAAGACACTTCATCAATATTATTTTCTGTGTTTCATGTTTGACTTGTGGAAGGAGTAACTTGTTGGACACAGGTGCGGCGACATGGCAACAGTCTGATCACAAACTACATTTTTCCCTGAGTTTCTCTGATAACCCACATAGTCAAGAATCCTTTTGACTTTGCTTCATGTACTAAACAAACAATGATGTGGTTTTAGACTCTTTGCAGGTTTGTTTGCCTCTTGTGTGTGTTACTTACCACGAACTGGGCATAAGCAGGACGTGGGTTTGTTTTAAGGAGGACAGGAGATTGGGTAAGCCTCTTTAACTGTGTCTGCATGGGAATAAGACTGTAGTGGCCTCTTTAACACAACACATGTCTAAGTTCAAGTTTTCACAAGCCAGTTTTACACTTTCTGACCCCCACTATGTAATAACAGTGAAGGAAGCAATTATCTTAACATCTCATGTCAAAATAACTCATGTTGCATGAACTGAACTGGTGCTTGTTTGAGTCATGTATTGTTTATTTAACCTAACTCCACCAAATACAGTGTTTCTTTATCAGAATGTACTCATTAGAACTCTATAATCCATTTAAAAGTCATCTTCAGAACCCAGTTTAAGTTTAGTCCCAAGCCCCACTTTGGGACCACCGAACCTAATCCACTGTCCTTGAGTCATTTCACCTCTTTTAAAACCGTTCAGGGATGGTTTGTGATCTGTTGTTCTTTTGAAGAGTGAGTCGGACTCATAGAAAAATAAATTCTATCCATAATGAAACCAACCTCCAGAAAAAGCTCAGGTACAGTAGCAGCACCACAGTGTGAGAAACACTGGTTTAGAGGCTTCTATAGATCACTCTTGATTGTGTTTGCAACTGTGCTTCTCATGGACCAAAGGAGCACTGTGACAATGACACTGTAAACCATATCAAAAATATTAATACCCAAAATGGAAGTTTATTAACAGTCAAGGGTCTGTTTAGTGTTCATGATGTACTTTCTCAGACAAAAAAATATTTTGTAATTGTAGTGGTGCCACCCACATGTGAAAGCCAGATTTTGCGTGACCTCTGACTGGGCCTGATTAGCGCTGTGATGGGAGACCTCTGGGAACATCAGGTGCCGCATTGGGGCGGCTGTAAAGTGCCAAACTGTGGTTGTGTCCATAGCCTTTGTGTTATCCTCACCACAGTGTTTAAAGCAGAAGAAAAATTCCCTAAACTATACTCTAAAATGGTCTAAATAAACCAGGTTTGGTCAAGTTAGGAAATCATCAAAATTCTGCTTGTAAAAAAAATATCTTCGGTATTTTTAAATCACTGTTCAGGGGGTAGAGGATAGCACAAGGGTTTTGAGACACGTCACTTGCCTAGAATGAGTCTGGTGTGTGTGTGTGAATGGTCGGTGGTGGTCAAGGGCTGACTGGTTGCGTCGTTTCTGCCAGTGTGCCCCAGGGCACACTGACCCTGTGGCTACAGTAGTAGTTTATCACCAGCGTGTATGGAGTGAAAGAATAATGACATATGAAGCGTCTTTGAGTGTCCAAAAAGGAACTATATAAAACATAGGCATTATTATTTTTATTACCATTTCGGTTGCAGGTCTCTGTGGTGTGCGGCGTCTAGACGTCTTTTAAAACAGACACAGAGACCCCCATACATCCCCCTGCCTCCCCCTTCTCCTCCATGAGGCTGTGAATGGACAGATCTGTGCTGAACTTACACTGAGCTCGTGTTTACTCTCAGCAGCTGTAAATGCTGCTTAAACTGCTGCCTCAGAGCTGTTTCCTGTTCATTCCAATGGTACAATATGGTAATGAGCTGGTATTAGTGTGTTTGAACCACTGAGTACAGGAAGCGTTTTAAGGATCCACAAGTTTACAGCACATGAACCACTCCCAGCAACAGTGCAGAAAACAACAACGGTTTAGGATACAATACACACTCATTTACCAGCCATCGCTTATACGGCATTCACGCAATATTCATATGGACATGAAACTTCTTGATGATGGAAACTGCTTAAATTACGATTCAGACCCAGTAAATGACAAATAAGGGTGTGGAAAATGCTCAGAAAATTTGAAAATTGTTCAAAAGTGTATTTATTGACATAATGCAAAGCCTTTGTTTGTAATAATAATTGTGATGAAAATAACTTTTTCAGTGATGTATCTCTCTTTCCGTGGAACAAGGCATATATTGTTTTCACATTGAAAGTTGAATAACAGAAGTAAATAGACATCTGTATACAGTTTATGGAGTCAGAAGCTTTTGAATAATGTAACAAACATGCACGAATTAGCCTCAATGAAATCTTGATTTAATTTCTACGCAAAAAACAACTGTTTTCTATATTAGCATTTACAGTTTACCAAGATGCGCCGCCTGTTGAAGGTGGCTCACATGTTACTTGACCTAGTACCACATGAAAAGCAGACAGACGAATCATAAAGCCGG